TTTAGATTCAACATATAGATGAGATCTTGTGGTATTTTATTTTTGTCTTTCTATATCTGGCTTATTTCATTCAGTATAATATACTCCATATTTATATATGTTATTGCAAATGACAAGATTCCCTTACTTTTTGGGATAAATAATATTCCGTTATATGTATCTCATTTATCCCTCATCCATTCATAGACACTTAGGATGATTATGTATCTTGGTTATTGTGAAGAATGATGCAATAAACATCAGAGTATAGATGTCTCTCAAACATACTGATTTCATTTCCTCTAGATATCCAACCAAATAATGGGATTGCTGGATCATATGGTAGTTTGTTTTAATGTTTTGAAGAACCTCTGTACTGTACCACTTTCCATAATGATTAAACTACTTTACATTCCTATCTATAGTGTATAAAAATTCCTTTTTCAGTTCTTTTCTCCCTCAGCTGAAAATCATGTTGGTGTTGAGGACTGTAACTACCATGAGTTCCAGTTCTGTGACAAAACCTCAGAAGCAGGGTATTCTGGGCACATATCTTCAGCTTTATACTGTTGGGGCATTCATTGTCTCCCTGGGGGTTGCAGCTCTCTCTACATTTGATGTGGCTGAACCAAGAAAGAAGATGTATACAGCTTTCTACAGAAATTATGATTCCACAAAGATTATAAAGAAACGAGGAAATTCTAGTGTCTTTCAGAGTGCAAAGTGATTTAGTAATAAAAGGGTTTGTTTGGATTGAATTCCATAGACATTTGTCACTGGTGTTCCTGAACTGTGAAACATCAATATGTGGGCTAGGAAATAGTTCCTCATGACAAATAAACACTTTCATAGGGGGGAAAAAGGGTTTCTTTTTCTCCACACTCTCACCTAAATTTATTATCTTTTGTCTTTTTTTTCAATGCTGGATATTGGACATGGGGCCTCACACATGGTAGACAAGTGCTCTACTGCCAAACTACACCACAGTTCCCTCTTTTTTCATTTTTGATAATAGCCATATAGGGTCAGGTGATATCTCATTATGATTTTGATTTGCACTTCTCTGAAAATTATAATTTGAGCGTTATTTCATATGATTCTTGGTCATTTGTAAGCCATATTTTTTCCCCTCAGTACTGGGGATCAAACTCAGGAACTTGAGCTTGCCATGCAGGTGCAAGCTATCTTTAAAGCAGTGTTTTTTCAGATCTCTTGCTCATTTTTAAAACATGTTATTGAGTTTTCTCCTATTGAAGGTTTTTTTCTCTGTAGTCTTTAAAAAAGTTTGATATAACCCCATTTCCTTTTACTTTTGTCACCTGTGGTTTTTGGGGTCTTATCACAAAAAACCCTGTCC